AACGGTACGTGTCTTAAGTAACGCATAATATTTGATTTCGTACATAGGTCTCACCTCATTCGGAAGTGTGTATACTGTAAACCTTGAACAACACGCGATTTATAATATTGAGTATGTTGGTACTCATGCGTAGGTGGAGCCGACATGGAATCCAAACCAACACTGAACGATGACGACGACGACATAGCTTCCGGTGGTTCGGGGAAACGTGAGGACGATGGTGTTACGTCCCCTACTGGCGTAGCCAAGGTGGACGGTATGTACACTACGGTGGATTACTTCTATTTCATTGCTTAGAGTAACGCGAAATATTTGGATCATTTACTTACGTATGACCTCATGCACTTGTATGTATTCTCGATTGTTTGAAGTATACAATGTTACTAATATTTCGTCGCATGTTAATTTCATACTAGGTGGACGCGGCATGGATTCCGAACCAGAAAAGAACAGTCACGATGACGAAGTGTCTTCCGTTGGTTCGGGGAACCTCTTGGACAAACCTGTTGCGTCCGCTAGTGGCGTAGCGGAGGTGGATGGTAAGTACATTGCGATGGAGAGCTCATCATGTCACCCTAACCCAAATTCGTGATGCAAATGGATGAAGTGCTAATTAAAGTGGAATTGTTTTGTAGGCAGTGCGACGAACATGCCGGGGGAGGCCAGCATACCCGTGCAATACAATGACCCACTCACCACAAAGAGGCGACGATCGACACGCGTTCGATGTCCTACTGTATCTACAAAGACTCCGTACACCAGGGGGAGGGCGAAGAGAGTGAAGAAATGAGGTATTTTTGGCGTAATTTGACATGATTTCAAGTTTGTGAGGAGTTCGTTTTTGCGTAGTCGTACGTTTATGTTATTCTAAAGGAGCATGTCGAATAGTATACGAATATTCTCCGTACTGTTCATATCACATGCAACTGAAACATAATATTGTCGAATTTTGTCACGTTTTGTTGAATATCTCTAAAGGAGCATGTCAAAGGGGTTTGGGTCCATTTTTGCAATGAAATGGGTTGGGTTTGATTTTATTTCTCCCATTTTCTGTCCGGTTGGGTTGGGTTATGGGTTATCCCTTAAACCCAACCCGAAGCCGACCAACCCAACCCGTATACAAAAGTTAAATTTAATAATGTGTAGAAATTATAAAACGAGTGTAAGGTCCCTCCCTTTTCCCTGACCCTTCCCATTCCCGTTTTCCATTTCCCCCTCAAAGAAAATCTAGTCTCCTTCAATCCATCATGAAGCCAGTAGTCGCCCTTTATTTTGTTGATTCTAACCCTGAGTATTTATCACTCTTTCAGTGTTTTCATATTTGATATTGTGGGGGAGAAAATGGTGAAAATCTCAGCTTTGTGCGAACGAAGGTGAGAAATTTTCTTCCGCCTCTATCGTTGCCGGTATCCGTCTTCAATCCCCTACCGTCCTATGCTACCATGTAGGTGAGTATTTTTCTTTAACTTAGATTCACTTCATTTATCCTTAATATCTGATATAGTTGAAGTTTTTTAATAATTGATTGTGCTTTATTTCTTTAGTATGTTTGGGCATTTATTGGTAATCGTAGTTCCATTTCAATTGTATGGTTCTTGGAAGACAATTTTCTAAGTATTCGTATTTGTATATGAAATTCACTGGATTGGATGTTGTGCTGTTGATTGCTTGTGAATTGGGTTGGATGACCGAATGAGATTAGTTTTGTGGGTTAATGTTGGATTGAAATGACAATAAGTTGACTGGGAATGTATCTATATATTTCATAAGGCTTGCCAAATTTAGCACTCCAATTTTGAGTAACAAAGGTTATAAGTTTAAATTTTAGCTTCCACTCTTTGCATTGGATTATGGATTTCATTATACTTCAGCATTGCAGTCTTGTGGAGTAATTTATAGTTTGCTGAGGTTTTTTCTTCTTTATGTATGTAAGAGCACCATCGTGTCGTTATTTGTTTAGTTGAGTGTTATTGTCGGACATGCTATATATTTGCGTTTACCAAATTAACTTCCATGATAACTTTGATCTCATTATATCATTTTTGGTTATTTAAGTGCAGATGAAAGTGGATGAAGATGCCTCAACCCCCTCCACGGTCACTGCATATCAACTTGGAGTTCACGTACGGTGCTTGAAAGGGGTGAACGTTGTATGAACAAATTTTATGTTATTGGTTGCAATGATTTTTGTATAAACAGGTCCAAATTCACTTACACTTTTGCTTGCCTAGCTCATCCATGTAATTGTTGTTGGTTGCAATGAATGTTGTATAAATCCGGTACGCAGGCGCACATGGATGATCCTAGATTTTTGTACATCATGTCTGAATGTGTTATATCAGAAGTACTTGTACAAAGTTGCCATTTGTTGCTCTTTATGCATGCGCGTGTGACTATAAATTATGTATTCCGGAATTCCCAGTAACTCGATAGTATACAGTGTAGTTCGATTCGTCATCTAAAGCACAGTAATTTCAGAATCTCGTGACTACATTATGATTCTCGTTTTTGAACTGAGTAAAAAATAAGTGCCAGCATAGCAAAATTCATTTAAGTTATAATTCATGTAATGTTATAACAAATACATGCAGCAACATGGAAAAAATCTTGCACATAGGTGTTACATTGAAAAGTTTTTTCTCAATTTTTGGAAGGAGCACCACATTCAAAAACTGAAAATGAAATTGAAAACCGTGCTTAGCTCATTTTTAGTCATTGCCGAAATAATTCAATAGTCATAACTCACATTGGTATTAATCTTCCAACCCCTGCAACCATTTAAGGACATATACTAGGGATTTAAGTATGATTAGACCATCATCCATCACATATTATCTATCAAATTTTAATTGTATGAGGGTTGGGGCACTAAATGAGCTTCAGTGCATCTCTCCAAAAAATCTACTATATATAGCATGGTAAGTCCACATTATCATTGACGCCTTAAATATTCACATTTGAAAATTCATGTTGCAGTCTCTACGTTTACTCCTCAACAGGTTCAATAAATATTTTCATATCAGAACAATGGCATCGTCGACAGGGAGCAATGAATCATTCAAGCATGAGGAGCCGCTACCAACACCCAGTTCGTCCCCACAATGTCCCATCGTCATTGCTTCGGACGATGACGAAGTGAGTTCTAAACGTGGTACGAGAGCCACATCCGTTCCTTTTTCGAACCTCGACGATGTTGCAAGTGAAGCTTCCCAGAGTCCAAAGACCGTGCTTGATTGGGTCGTACCATTGATGGTTCCGGTGGAAGTTGAGTCTGACGATGACGTGTAGTTGGCTCATGTTCCATCTCCCGAGATCATTGTGATCAGCTCCGGTGACTCCGAACAAGATGGTTCGAGTGTGGACAATCAATGAGGTGGCGAATAATGGTATGTGGTGCGTATGAAATAATGTATAGTTCGTATTTTGTCAGGGATAGGTCTGGTAACATAGTTCGGCAATGGTAAGCAAGAGCACCTCTATTGTCTACGTACTGTTTTCTTCATATTTTGGTAGATTTTGGTATTGGACCTACGATGGACAAGGATAGAAACAATCTGTTGGGAACGACATGTATACTGTCGGGATGTAAGAGCATAGGTTCATTTGTGTGTAAGTATGAAACTTGTGTTCCCCTATATGTATCCCTTGTTTACTGAAAATTGACGTACCCTCGAATGAACAAGTTCACTGTATTGACAACGTAGGTTCGTCGGGATTTCTTGGTTCGGGCTTAACACATGAACTTGGAAGTATCGAAAAATAAGTTATTTATAAAATTCCTTGTAGGTGGAGATAGGTGTCTATATGTACGTGGTGTATTATGAATAAGTCCATATGGAAAAAGTACTAATCAGGTCAGCCCTAAATCGTCCTTGAAACATACCATTTTTATTTGTTGCTAAATTAGAAGACGATGTCTGCTGTTAAGAAATGATAATGGAATGTAAAAGAAATTTTATGATTTAAAATATCTGCGTAAGTAGAGACTTGAATGGGTAACAGTGTAGTCATGCAGGCATAAATATTTTGGACAAGTCAGATTATATACTCTGTAACCATCTGTCGAGACTGACAGTTTAACTGTCGAGATGTTCTGAAGGGATATCAATTACAATATCTTCTAACTAGTTGCGATCATGAGAAACACTAATGTCAGCAAACAAACGACAATGATAACAAAATGAGAACATTTACATTCTTTCATTACAAACGACATGGGGGTGCCAGTTCACATACAACTTCAACCACTTTCGAACAAAAACCTATTTATTACAAACGCCTATTTAAACGGTCCGTGGTATAATGGGGTTGGAACATGTGCTCCGATTATGACTTAGTCCACCACAGCGAGTGCATTTCCTCAGTCGTGTGGCGGACTCGAATCTGGATCGCTGACGTCTTGTGGGTGGTCTACCTGGAGGATGACGTAAATTGGGTGGCCTAATAGGAGTACCTGTAATTTTGTTTGGCACTATCCAGTCCACTTCACGCATAACGGGATATATAGCTTCGCTATAGACACCTCTCCAGTATTCCGATGTGTAATACGGTGAGCATAAGTCGTACAATGACATACCTCGCAAGCAGGCAGCTCAAGTGGCATGAACGCATGGCATACGATTAATTTGAAACTCATGACAAGTGCAGCTGTTATCAGAGAAGTCGACGATATCCACGTCGTTGGATATTCCAACCTGTGTTAACTGTTCTGTCAAGCCAAGAGCTCGAAGCCTTGTACCTACTTCAAATGTTGTCCGTAACTCGGTCTCCATCCTCAACGACAGCATGCTAGTACATGTGGTTGCACTGGTTTGACGTTCGTGAAACCACTTCTGTATAGTTTGTGGAATGTGTTCGACTAAGCACGTAATCGGTAATGACCGGGCATGTCTCAACATTGAGTTTAAAGATTCGACATTGTTATTTGTCAAAATGTTGTACCTTTGACCAACGAACAGTGCTCGTGACCAAAACGAAAAACCTGCTCGCTCTAAGTACCCCTACGCTCTTGCACTTACCCTACGGATCTGTCCCATAAGTCTTTCAAACTCTTCGACCCGAGAAGTTCGTGCAGCTCGTTTGAATAGAAATATTACACTTGCATTGTTGTACCGCTGGACTAAGTTCTTTTCTAGATGCCATATACAGTACCCATGACGGGACTGAGGAAATAGGTGAGCAATGGCATTGGAAATGCTATTCTTCAGGTCGGAAACAAAAACCAATTCAGCAGAGTCGCCTATAAGCTCTTTCAAGTTGGACATAAACCATATCCACGATCTATTTGTTTCAGCATCAACGATCCCCCATGCCAAGGGATATATCTGTTTGTTGGCATTTTGGCCGGTTGCCAGCAAAAGTGTACTTTTGTATAGACCTTTCAAGTGACTACCGTCAACACAAATAACGGGCCTCAAGTAGCGCATATAGCCACGAACGCTTGCACCGAAAGCTAGGAAGAAGTAATGAAACCTGTTATGGGAATCAACTTCGATGTGGGTTACTGTCCCCGGGTTACGCTCTCCTAGAATGTTACAATAGAAAGGTAATTTTTGAAAACTATCCCCCGGTGTACCATGTAGCATATGTAAAGCGGTAACTTTCGCCCTATATACTTTTTGGTAACTTATTTTGACACCAAACTCGCGTTCTACGTCACGTGCAATATCGGTAGGATCGTACAACCGGTATGGATTATCCAATTTTCCCAAAATGTGCTCGGCAATTACAGAAGTAGTGGCATGTCGATGTGCGTTACGACGGATATCTACCGAACATGTGTGCACATGGTTGAATTTTCGGATCATGAATATAGAAGTCTGTTTCACACTCAAAGCACGTAACATCCACTTGCAATTACGGTCCACGCATGCAACGGTTAACATTTTGCGGCTTGACCTGCTTACATGAAATTCAAACTTCTCTTGCAAAGCAAGTACACGAATTTTCGAGTACAGCTCTTTCTTACTCAATAATATTTGCCGTTCAACAAGATCGGATGTATCCATAGCTGTAATCCATTGGTCTGTACCCCGAACGAATATGTTGTGATGACATTCGAGCGTCAACGTCTGCAATACTAGTAGCATCTGTACCATTGAATGGGTCGTCCAACATATCGTCTACAGGTGCAGCCCCATCATCAAAATTCCCCCTTTCGACTACATTATTCACTGGGGAACTAGGCTCATGATTCATGTCATCGTGTTCTAAGTTCTGGTGAACATCCGTTGTGGCAAACAAATGGTCACGCAAACTCGTATCCCTCCCCATGTCAGTAGTTCGCATATTTGTCTCCACAATATTAACGCACAGAGCAGTTTTCGTATGAACAGATATGTACCATATGAGGTCTTCATCTTCACGTATTTCAGCTGGCGGTATATTCATGTTCAGGACTTTGAACTTCAATTCCATTTCGGTGTGCGGATCGATAATGCCAAGTTTCTCATTCAACCGTATCAGAAGTCTGGCTAAGGTAATATTTCTCGGCACTAAAATGGATGTGGTTTTGTTCCCTGTCCACTTCCATTCGTCATTCGCGTGAATAAACCTTCCCCCGTGCGACACGATGAATCTCAAATGGGTCTTCATACCTAAAATAAAGGGATTACAACAATAAAAATTATGAATAGTCAATATGTCGATATGTAATAGTATCGAAGGGGTACTTTCGAATATTTAAACCGATGCAATAGGAGAATGTGAAATGCAGGGTGTCAACAGTTTTCAACTGTCGATTTTGACAGTTTAAAACTCTATCCCGACAGTTTATCTGTCGATCTCGACTGTTTATAAATGGCGAGATCGACATGTATAACCGTCGAGATCGACAGATAAACTGTCAAGACCGCCGACAAGTTTAAGGCCTGTTTATTTGTTACTTTCTCCGAAATATTAATAGTTATAATCAATTCTCAACTACAACAATTATTCCATTGCTCTACAGATCTCCATAAACAAATGACTGCTTCATTAAATATGGAATAGTTGACATTTGCCTAAATATTTTTGGTATATTTTTCCTTTAAAATGATTTGAAAAAGAAAAAACAATACCATCATCATTAATATGGTTTTAAATGCTTTCCTCACTTTGATAATCATGTTGCTTTTAATATGTGAAAAATAATAAGCTATTACATAAAAATATAAATAATTTGTAATAACTAACCTCTCCAAATGGATGATGAATTGAATAGCAATATATTGTTGATGAAAGAATAAAGAAGATGAAAGAAAATGGAGGGTTTTTTCAAGAAGGGATGTATTTGATGTGAACTAGGATTGTTTTGCTTCTTTTATCTTATTTTTGCTTCTTTTAAATTTTTTTTGCATCTTTTCTCTTTTTTTTTTAGTCAATTCATATTATACAATATAATATACATTATCAAATCATTATAATATACAAATTAAATAATGAAATCATTACAATTGATTGGATTGGAGGCTACCATTAATGAGCATTTAATGCTCCTAAAAAGGGGAGATTAGGGGTAATTTGGACATTTCCCACAAAAAAAGTGACATTTTCGATAAAATTTAGTGCACATCAAAAGTTTTATATCAATTTTCAAAAAAGTGTCATTTTTGATAATTCCCCAGATGATTATAAGTGCGAATGTGCCAATTTCAGGTAAAATAATGGCAATTGATCCTCTGTAGTTGATGAAGCTCTTTCAATAATGAGTAGAAACAATTGTTGAAGATGTTCATAATTATGTGCAAACAAACCCAGCAAGTGTGTTGACGTATCTCGTTTAACAATTCTATCAAAATTTACAAACCCTGATAGTCATTATTTACAAGTGATGTCAAGGAAGCACACACGTAGAGAAGAATAGTCCAGACTTCGAGTTCTATTGATGGAGAGAGATATGGATCAATGAAAATTGTGTAGTTTTATTCCAAAAGGGTAATTGAAACATAGCCGGCCCCGCATCCCGGAAAAGGCCAGCAGGTGGTTCACTCGCACCGTTGAGCGATATGATTAGGAACATGGATAATAAATATGTAAATATGTGTTAGAGAAAAATAAGTTATCCGTCTACTAAAATATCAATTAAAACAACAAATTAAATAACACACAATTGAGAAGAGAGTTAGAAATGCCGGCCCAAGATAGGTTTGAAAATCGTTGTCTTAAAGTCACGTTGTATTC